AAGCGCTCACGCATGTGACCGAGGCTGTCCCCCCGCATGGCCAGGATGGCCGGGCATGGCACTCCCATTCTGCAGAGAAGTGGGATTTGCACCCAGGTCTCCCCCCCCCCCCCATAATTCGGCACCCAGCCCAGGCTTTCCCGTGTTGTTTGGAGCCTTAGTCCCTGAGTTAGCTCTGAGTTTCCGCAGGAAGCTGGTCTGGGCTGGGGAAGGGTGGCCAAGGGTGAGGAGGTGAGCGGCAGAGGGAGGGGGCGCAGGTGGGCTCAGGACAGGCCCCGCCCGGGCCACTGGCGGGAGCAGGACTGGCCAGTGAGTCTGGTGAGCCGTCTCTGAGGAGCCACTGGCTGCCTCCTGAGTGGGCCGAGAGTGCTGGGCGAGATGGGGGTTAATGATTGTTTTCCAGCAAGCGATTCCTCTATGTGGCGCTTATCTTCCCGGGTCATCGGCCCGCGGTCTGCACTTACCAGAGTAATAGCAGCCTGGTCGGGGCCTCCTGCCCGCCCGCTGGCCCCAGGGCCCTGCAAACAGATGGCAGCAGATGAGGCAGAGGCAGGCAGGAATCAACAGGAGCAGCGCCCACCCCGCCCTGCCCCTCTGTCCCAGGGCACGGCAGGGCTGTGTGCCCTCAGCTCAGGGTGGCTGCCCTCACAGTGGGGCCCAGATCCAGGGAGCCCCCAGAGACACCCGCACCCCCAGCCAGTCCTTACCCCAACTGTCGGCCCTGCCCGAGCCCAAGCACACCCCGTCACTGGCCTCAGAGCTCTGGCGCCCGTCTTTCTGCTGCTGTCCTCAGGAAGCCGAGGGGCAGGGCAGCGCTGTGGACCGGCATGGCTTGTCGGGGGCACAGCACTTCAGGTGTCCGTGTGGCTCTCTAAGTCCCCGGGAGCACCCATGCGGTAGGCGTTATTTTCAGTTTACAGTTGAAGATGCTGAGGCCCTGGGAGCTTGAGTGACTTGTGCAAGGCCATTCAATTAGGTAGGCAGAATAACAGCCCCCAAAGATGTCCACATCCTAATCCCCAGAACCCGCGACTATGTCACCTTGCGTGGCAGAAGGGGCTTTGCGGGTGTGACTAAGTTCGGGCTCTGGAGATGGAGAGGGTCTCCTGGGCTATCTGAGGGCAGTGTCGTCACAAACATCCTTTAAATGTGGATGACAAAGGCAGAAGACCGTGGCGGTGTGAGAGACACAACTGGCTGTGAGTTGGATGGGGAGCCACAGGACTGGAGAAGGCGGGGAACGGAGACACCTGGTGACACCTTGATTTAAGCCCAGGGAGACCGTTTTGGACTTCTGACCTGCAGAGCTGTGGCAGTAAATAAGATTTATGTCAATGAACAATAAAAGATAAAAGTGTGTTGTTTGAAGCCACTACGTTCATGGAGATTTGTTACAGTGGCAACAGGAAGCTAAGGAACGTGGCAGAGCCAGAACTGAGCCTGCAGTTGGGGCCTTGCCTGGGTGGCGGCTGAGGTTGCGGGCACCCTGTGTGCCTCTGTCCCCGCCCTGCCCACGCTATGCACAGGGAGTGGGGCCCACAGAGCACAGCCACAGGGAGGGAAGACTCGAACCCGGGCCAGCCAGGGTTTCAGCTGCTCTCCTCCCCTGCAATCCCCAGCCCCCTGCCTGCCTCTCCCCTGCTGTAGACTCGGGTTCTAAGGAGCCACAGCAGCTGCTTTGGGGGATTCGGGCGAGGCAGGCCCGTGCCAGCTGTCGGGCACACACAGCCCGGCTGCCGCTCTTTGCTCTTCACTCGGTTTCTCTTTCCTGGTTGCTTTGAGGCTGGGGGTGGGCAGGATGAGGGGTGTCTGTGGATCTCTCCTCGGGCGCCCCTGAGGATCTGCCTGTCTGTCTCAGGGCAAGGGACAGTATCTGTGTGTCCGGGTGCCGGGTCGTGGGGAGGGTCCGAGGGCCCTGCCCCTCTGGTGTGTGTGCATCTCTGGCAACGTGTGGGAAAGTGTGAGTGTGCAAGCGTGCCTGCTCATGGCCCTGGTGTGTGTGCCTGTGTGTGACCCACACCCTGTGTGTGACCCGTGTGTGACTGTGTGTGTGAGCATGTGTCTATTGAGCCCCTGCGTGCGTGTGTGAATGAATGCATGTGGGTGCCCACTTGTACCTCTGTGTGATGTGTGAGTGTGCAAGTGTGAGAGTGTCTGCTGCTCTCGTCCTGTGCGTGTGTGAACATGTAAGAGTGTGTCTACTCACACCCTGCATGTGAATGCCTGTGAACATGTGGGCATGCGAGTGTGCAAACACACCCACTCGTGCCCTGTGTGAAGATGTGAGTGTGCAAGTATGCAGGTGCATCTATTTACGCCCTTGTGTGAGTGTGTGAACATGAATGAGTGTGTCTACTCATGTGAATGAATATGTGAGTGTGGAATTATGCCCGTGTGTTTTCGAGCATGTCTGCTTCCCCCTCTGTGTGTGAACATGTCTGCGTGTGTGTGCACTGCTGCCCCTCCCCCAGCCAGCCAGCATTGCCTCACCCCTGTGACACAGCTGCTAATGACTATTTGCCATTGTCTGTGCAGCAGTGGCATCACCTGCACTAATGACAGTCTCTCCTGCCTAATGACCTGGCTCCTGCCCCATCATTTAGGAGCCTCAGGAGCACTGGCCCCGTGGCCAGAGAGATGTTGACGAGCTCAACACATTTCCCGCTGGGGTGTCAGTGGGGGTGGGGAAGGTGCAAATCCCGCCCCTCCCCAGCAGCCCGGGGTGCCGCGTGGGCTTGGAATTTCAGCTGGCTGATGGCATCCTGGGCGGGAAGCCCCAGCTCTGGCCCTGCCCTCTGTCTCAGCAGGGCTGGTGGCTGCTGCCCTGCCCCACAAGGTGCCCTTGGACTCTGGCAGCCAGACTGTATCCGCTCCTGTAGACAGGGCCCTGCCTCCCCCTGACCCCAGCTTCTCGAACCCCCCAGGCCCTCTGGCCTCTGTGAATGAAGAGGTCCCTCTGAGCAGGCCTCTCTGTGCCCAGCAGGCTCTGTTCCGGCCACTCCTGGGGAGTGAGAGGGTCTGGAGCAGCCAGGGAGTCACAGAGTCCAGGCCGAGCTTGTGTGGAGGCCACCACAGAAGCCTCTTCCACCCACCCCACCCATGTTTCTTTTATGATCGAAATTAAGTTGAAATAGCCTTCTGGATTCTGAAGGAGGAGCTAGGCAGGGTTGCTGCCGCCTTTCTGTGAAGCCACAGCCGTTGTTCTCACTGTCTCCTAGCCCTGAGCCTACTGGCCCATCGACGTGCCCCACCTACAGGCTGCCCTGCCCACCTGGAGTTTGCCCAGATGTGCGGAGCAGCCTAGTACTCTGGCCGGTCCAGTAGGGACCCACTAAAGGTTTTCCAGGTTAAACCTAGTCCCATGCCTGCCTGGAACTAGCTGTGTGACCTCGAGCAAGTGAAGGGGCAGGTCCTCTGTGAAGTGGGGGTGCAGCGGGACCTGCTTCCCAGGGCTGCTCTGGGGACTAGATGAGCACTCGGAGCATTGCGGGCACAGGCAAGCACACGCAAACCTTTCTACAGCCTCTTTGAGCCTTCTTTGCCTCATCCATGCAATGGGAAGCACAGCTGCTAGCTCAGCCCACAAGGGGCTGAGTGAGGGAAATAAGGAAGGGGTGAAAGCACCAGCTGTCCTGACTGCGGACCCAGTGTCCCTGTTCTGGAGGGAGCACTCATGCCTTTGCTGGCCTGGAGCTGTGGCTTGTCTACATCACCGATGGAAGGCTTCTTCAGACAGTTGTGAGAATGGAAAACCATCCCAGTGCATTGCAAAATGTTGTTTGTGAATGCACGTGTCCGTCAGTCTCTGTGTGAAATGCATTTCTCACTGTGGGTTGAGGAGACACCTGGCCCGTTGTTTCTGGGCAGAGCAGGGCCAGGGGTGCAGGGACACCCTGGCTTTGCCTTCTCCCCTTCTGCTCCACTGTGGAGTCTGCACCGAGTGCCCATGTGTACTGTCTGGTGTGGCTGGGCCCCAAAACAGGAGGACCCAGATCCAGCTGAGGGCACATGCCCTTCTGCCCCAACAACCATTGAAAGTCTTCCCTTCTCGACATTTGCCTGGGTAAGGTCCACGCTCGGCATCCAAGGTGCTTTGCCATCCAGGAGTGGCCTGCAGGATGGAGGGTGGCCCTGGACATGTAGGGTACAGGGGAGGCCTCCCAGGCAGGCCGCTCCTCTGGACCTAGGCCCTGATGAGTTTCAGGGCTGAGCCAAGCTGTCTCTGAATCCTGCTGCTTCCCCGCAGCCCTGGACACCCAGCCAGCCAGCCCCACGGGTGGCGCATCAGAAAATGCTTCCCACAGCAGCAGACCGGTGGGGGCCCTGAAACCCAGAGATCGTCTCTTTCCCCTTCCCCAACACACCAGCCGCACCCTTGGCCTGGGCCTCCCCGAGAGCCAGTGGTGGGCCTGGAGGTGAGGGATGCTGGGGTACCAGCATAGCAGTGGCTGCCACCTACTGTGGGGTGCTCTGTGCCAGACACGGCACAGATCAGTTTATAGATATCATGCCAATCTTTGCCACCGTCTCAAAATGTTCCTGTTATTGTGCTCATTCTATGGATAGCAAAACCGAGGTCCAGAGCGGTTAAGTCTGCACAACTAGTAAGTGCCAGAGCCGAGATCCAACCCCAGGCCAGCCTCCCTCTACATCTGCTGTGGCCTTGGAGGGAGAGACTCGTGTGTGTTGGTGGGGACCAGCATCAGCGTGCAGCCTGGCTCCAGGGGCCAGGAAGAGCGAACTTGGTCGTGGAAGGGTTTGCAGTGCTCCAATGGGAGAAGCTCCCCTCTTCCAGGTACTCCCCGGAGATTCCTGTCCAAATGCAACCTTATCTGGGGCCTCCCTGACGATCAAGGTAAGAACTTGAACATGGGGAGAAGCTGCTCGTTGTTGGCAGTTTCGTCCGTGGGACTGCTTGATTATCAAGAGGAAAAAATTAGATTTCAGAGTCTTCCTTGGCACTCCTTAAGGGCAGGGACTAATCCTCCCGCAAAATGGGCTTAATTAACACTGACTGCTCTCACAACTAGTGACAGCCATGGGAGCTGAAGCTTTGTGAGAACATTTGCAAAGTAACACATAAACCAGGCAAATGAGCACAGGGTAAGTGGGATCTAAGTGCCGAGGGGACGCGAAGGCAGGGGTGGTGAGAATTGGGTGGGGTTGGCTGGGGAGGCTTCTGAGAGCCGGGGAGTGTGGGATGGCTTGGGGAGGGACAAGGCTTTCCTTGAGGTTGGGGCAGGTGAGGGGAGTAGCTGGCATTTAGCATCCCAGCGGCGTCATTCCAGAACAAGCCAGTCCCTGGGTGCCCTACCCAAGAGACCTGGCTCAGTGACCTGGCACCCTGGGAATTTGCCCTGCCTCCTGGGTGGGGATTGTCCGGCAATGTGCATGCCCAGCCCACTTGGTGCCACTTGAAAATGACATGGAAATGTGGTGTGGTCTTGAGCCAGGTCTTCCTCTCTGGGGTTTTGGCCCAGTTTTGGCCTGAGGCCCATGCAAGTGTCTTTTTCGTGGGATGTTGCAGAGAGAAACGAGGGGGAGTGTGGCTTCCTCAGCATGGGGCTGACGGAGAGTCTGAGAAGTGGCCTCTGTCCTCAGGGGGTCAAGGTGCCAGTCCGGAGGGTGGTGCCCCAGCCAGCCTGCATCCACACTGCGCTGCACCTGGGGCTGCAGCCGGAGCCCAGGCCCGAGGCAGGGGACAGAAACCTCAGATTCAGAGTTCCCCAGATGGAGGGGACTTTAGCCTTCCCCCTCCCTTACGGAGAGGGCTGTGGAGGCCAAGGTCAGGAGGGGAGGGAGGTGTGTGCGGTGGGCCCTGCCTGGATGTGAGGGAGAGACACTGTCGGGTCTCCGAGCAGTTCTCTGGAGGGTGGGGGTGACTAGCACACCCCAGGCTGTGGTCCAAGGTGGGAGCAGTAGGCTCAGCTCGGGCACTAGTGCTGGGGTGGTGGGTGGGGAGGGAGAGATGGGCAGAACCCAGGTGGCCCCCGTAGGGGGCGGCCACAAAGCAGGCCTGGGAGGTTGGAAGGGGCAGGGCCTGCGTGGGGGCTCCCTGGTGGGGGAGGGAAGCACGTGTCTGGCTGCACTGAGGCGAAGGCCTGAGATGAGAGAGTGGGGTGGGAGCAGAGAGCACGCTGAGGACAGAGCTCCAGGCCCAGCTGAGGCTTTGCCTGTAAATCAGGAGGCAATGGGAGCCCCTGAGCTCCAGCAGGATGCAGATGGCTCATTGCCCCTGGGGTTGCCAGCCTGGTCTCTCCATGCTGGCTTCCAGAAGCTGCAGCCTGTCCAATCAGGGCTCAGTGGAGGGGTTGCTTGACCCCAGTGGTGGATTTTGAAGTGGGTGGAGGGATTACTTGGAAAGGGGCATCCAGGAGTTGGCTGGCGAAGGAGAGATTGAGGGTCAACCTCTGGGCATGCTCCAACACTGGAACAGAGGGTCTGTGGTCACTTTATAACTGGCATTTAGGGGTGTGCCTGCAGGAGCTCCAGGAATGACAGTAACTGGACACCTGTCTCCTGCCCAGCAAACTCTCTGTGCTTTAAAACAAGAGCGTCCTGTTCAAGGTCTGCAGAGAGAAATGCAAAGGAGAGACTGACCCCTGGGGAAAGAGAATGTCTCACTTGTCTTTTGAGGAGAGGGGGAAGCAGAGGGAGCCTACTGGGGGGCATGAAAGGGCCTGAAGGACAAGCAGAGACAGTGAGTCACTAGCTAAAGGCCACACATGGAGGCCAGGGGACCTTGTATCTGAGCCCCATGGGACGGCTCTATTGTTGGCTCTCGACAGCCTTCTGTCTTCTTGTCCTTGGGCTCCGTGCCCAGGCCCCGCTGTTAGTACCTGCTCCCTGAGCCAGCGCCTGGCAAACACAGCCATGAGCTCATGGGGTGGGGTCAACTGGCAGGCCCCCGATCTCCCCTGGAGCAGCGGCAGGTGCACGTCGAGCCCTGGGCCCGGCGCCTCTGTAATCTCCCTCCTGGCCCCATCCGCTTGCAGGGAGGTGGCTCCTCCAACCAGCCAGTTCAGCCTCCTCCACCTTGGTCCCCAGACTCCAATAGAGGTGGAACATGGGCTCATGCCATGGCATGAAGGCTTGAGATTAGACTCCAAGAAGGATTTACTACTCAAAAGATGAGATGATGGGATAAGGGGACGGGGAGTTAAAATGAAGGACAAATATTAATAATAAGTGTATCATTCTTCATTAAGGACTTATTCTGTGTCCTGCTCTGTGTTAAGTGCTTTGCAGGCAGTTCTCATGTAATCTTTGTGACCTGGAGAACATGGACACTCAGGCCAAGCTTTCACGCCAGTAAGTGGAGGAACTGGCACTTGCACTGAGCTTCTAGCTGCGGGATGAGTCCTGAGGGTCCAGAGAGGCTGGCCACCGGAGAGCGCGCACTCGTCCCTTCATCTGCTGCCAGTGTTAATGAGACAGGCTTCTGGGGGTCAAACAGGTAGGAAAGGTAAGGGCTGAGCCGAAGCTCCAGAGGGTGCAAGCCATCCACGCAGGGGCGGTGAGCCTTCCTGTCTGGTGGCTCTTGGGTCAGACAGGAAGCAGGCACATCAGCTCTGCAGCAAGAGGGAGCAAAGGGAGACGGCAGAGGCCTGAGCTCCAGGGCTGCATGTCATCGGCAGGCGAAGGTGTGTATCCTGGAGAGGGAGAGCAGCTTGGAGGGCTCAGTCTGACGGTGGGGGGATGGGCGGCCCAAGTCGGGGGTCTTTGTTCCGGCTTGTGCATATGCCTGTGTGCGCATGCATGCGTGTGCACACGCACGTGTGTCCACAGTCTCCAGGGATGCATTCTCTGCCCCTGCTGGCTCTGGGCTCTCCAGCAGCGTCTGTTGTTGCACCGCAGCCCCCAAGGGAGGACTGCAGCCTTGGCTGGTGGTCTGGAATGTACTTTATATTTGGGTACAGTGCTGTCTGGATTGGGGACCATTCTTGTTCCCAAATGTCCTTCAATTTGGCAGACCACTTATTCCAGGCCTGAAACCTCTACTGTTACTTCCAGGAAGTTTTCTCTGCCCCTTCTCCAAGGACCCCCACTGCCTTCTCCCTTCCTTGAGTGTGAACTGGGGGCATATCCCATTGCTTCCCCCCGAGCCTGCACTTCCACCTTGACTCATTCACCCTGAGTTCCAGCTTCCACAGGCTTGAATCCACTGTGGCGAGTCCACACACGCTTACACCACAGATGTATGGAGAGCAGGGAGACATGGACAATTCCTGGTGTGTCACTGGGGGCCAGCCCTCAGGTGTTCTTGCCTGCCAGGTGTCATGATGGCTGTTGGCCCCCATCTGGCGTTGGTGCCCAAGCCTGTACCCCATGACAGGGGTCGGGGGTCATATTCTATGATTCAAGGTCCAGTGTCAATGCACACAGAGTGTATTGACCTTGGATGTGGCCTTGGATGTGAGGGCCAGGTGGGACCCCAGAGACCATCTAGGGTCATATATCCTTCATTTATAGACAAAGCATCCCCCAGAGAGGGAAGGGCCTTCCCCAAGACCACACAGCAAGTTGGAGGGACACAGCTGATCTCTTGACCCCATGGCACAGCTCTGTCCACCATGTCACATTCTCTCCCTAATTTTGATAAACCTCTCTCTCCCTTCCTGTCTTGTCTCTTGTCTCTGCACTTTTCTCATGCTTTCCCTTCCGTGCAGACTGTGCGCATTTCTCAGGGCCTAGCCTGGCCCGCTCCACTCTGAAGCCTTCCTGATTTCTCCCTCCCAACTTCTGCTGTGCCATTAGCAGCTCGTCCTGCTAATTCTCATTCCCTAATTGTCTGTAACACAAATTAATTACTTGATGCTCTAATGACCTGAGTTCTAACCAGGCTCAATTGCTTTCTAGCTGCGTGACCTTGGGCTAGTTACTTAACATTCTTAATCTTCTGTTTTCTCATTTGTAAAGTGGGGCTGGCTTTTGAGCCTGAGTGAACAGCAGAAGCCAAGGTTTGGAGTGAACTTGGGAAATGGCAAGGTGGAAATCTCAGTGCACCGGGAGCGGGTGGGGCTGATGTAAGTAAGGAAGGTAGGGTTGGTTGTGGGGAGCCCCAGCAGGGAGGTGGTATGTTATCGGTAATAGGGAGCCCATGAGGCTTTTGGGGAAGGGAGGTAGCAAACCACCACCTAGAGTTTGGGGTGGCCATGAAATGGGGTGGAAAAGGCATGGGCTCTGGAGTTGGCAGATCTGGATTTAAATTCCAGCTCTACCAGTGATTAGCTGTGTGACGCTGCACAAATTGCTAGATCTCTCTGAGCCTCCTTTTTCAATCTGTAAAATAGGAATTATACCTACCCCATTGAATTATGGTGAGGATTAAGTGAGAAAGCATCTATAAATTGCTTAGCTTGGAGTCTTGCACTTAGTGCGTGTTTAACAAGGAGTAGCCGTGATTGCTGCTGCTGTCACCCAGCAGCACGTGTCTGCCTCCTGGCCTGGCTTTGTCCCTGGGTCTTTCTGGTCCTGGGTGTCAGGCTCATTCCTCATTTCCCAACCTGGAAGCCTCCCAAGGGCAGGGCTCACATGCATCATCTTCCCGCCCTAGCTGTTTTAGGAAGTGATGGGAGCCAGGAAAGCTGCTGAGAAGAGGTGATGTCACACTTCGGGGCCTTTGGTGGCTCTGCAGAGGCCCCAGGGACCTGCAGGTAGGCAGGGTGAGAATAGGGGGTCTTGGGCCCTCTTGGCTGCCCATTGGCCTTGTAGATTCTGAGGGAAGTAAGGAGCCCAGGGAACTTGGTGTCAACACGGTGTCCAGCCAGCTCTCCCGGGGACAGTCCTCAGGCACTGCAGTGGACCTACCCTGGCTGGTGAACCCAGGGAGGGGGCAGGCCCAGCCCTCGGAGAGGGAGCACAGGGGCGCTGAGGGGAAACTGACTGCCAGCTACTCCCACCCCTAGTGAGAGGGCCAGTCACACACCACCAATAATTGGAGTCTAATGATTACTACACAATGTTTAAAGTATGTTCTAGGTGTTGAGTGGTGTGCTAGGAGCTGAGGATAACCATTTGGCAGAGGGTGACTGTGTGCAGAAAGCGTGTTTAGAGGGGGGTTCAGACAAGCATCCAAGGGGTGTGCTTGGCCCACCCAGGCGCAGCCAATCCCTGCAGCCTGGCTGGGGGCCTGCCAGAGGTGTGCAGTGTGCGGTGTGCAGTGGGAGAGTAGACCAGGGTGTTGGGGTGCTGGCTGGAGGGGTGGGGACAGTGGCTGGAGAGGAAGCCAGACTGTACACAGGGGTCTAGAATGCCACACTCTCACGGGGGCTGTGAGCTGTGGGGGTTCAGGCAGGGGGATGTGGTCAGGTGCAGGGCTGCCGTGCTGTGGGAATGGAGAGATCAGGCTGGCCTGCCTCCGGGTTTCGTGGGGCAGGGGAGTGATGAGGAGGGTGCGCTCCTGGGGAGGGGAGGGGTGGGTGGGCTAGATGGCTGCAGAGTGGGTGTGCACGTCTGGAGCAGGTAGGCCGAGGTGGGCCTGCGGGGGAGGCTATGACTCCACTGGGCGGGGGTGCGGAGAGGGAGCAGGCCAGGGCCGACCCTAGCCTTGGCCCCACCAGCTCCTCCCCTCAGGCCTCCGAGGCAGGTCTGCTCCAAGCCCGTCAGACGTGTCCTCTGAGTACCCCAGAAGAATGCATCTGAGGAACGGAGCGGGCAATGCCTTTCTCCCTGTCACCTTAGTATCTGATTAGTGAATAGTCACTGCGTCTCCATCCGGGCACTGGGTTCTGGGGCACAGAAACTGGGAGAGGCCAAGCCCAGACCCACCAGGCCCTGGCCCACCAGGCCCCCACTGGCCATGACATGGTCCGAGGCAGGCTCTGGCGTGTTGATCAGCTCGTGGAGCACTTTGGAAGGGGGCTGGAGGGCTAGGGGGTCCTGGGGATGTGTCCACCACAGGACCAAGGCCTCCCTCTCTCCTCTGTGACATGAAGTGGTCTCTCAGACCCTTCCAGCTCATGAGGCCGGAGCCACTCAAGCCTGCAAGGGTGGGACCAGGTCCCCCAGGGCCTGGAGGACAAGGAAGGTGGGGTCATAGCTTAGGCATAAAGGGGTGAGAACACTGGGACTCACCCAGCTTTGAAAGTTGCCAAATCTTTGCATTCTTGTGTTCATCTTGTCACTTCCCAGAGCCCTGAATGGGAGGAAGCAGGATCCACGTGAGCAGGGCAGGAGAGATTTAGGCAACAAGAACTTCCAGCTCTGCCCCAGGGTTCCCTGCTTTCTCCACACCTTGGGGGGCTGCTGAGCCAGTGGGGGACAACAGGTGCTCATTCCCCTGTGCCTCTCAGCTGCTCCCCGCCTGCCCACCTGGGCACTTTTGCCTGCCACCTGGATCTTGCCGGAAGCTGTCCTTGTGTGTGCGTCAGGCCGGTGGCAGGTCGGCTGCCATGGTGCTGTGGCAGAGTATGGCACCGCATCCCCCCGACTGGCATTGCTGTGGGGGCGGGGTGGGTGGTCCTGCCAGCCCCAGCAGAGGAGAAAATGATCCCCCATTCACCCTGGCAGGAAGGGGGTCCCTGCTCCCAGGAAACATGCTCTAGTGGCTCACCTGCACTGTCTCCATGCACGCTGCCTTCCGTGCGGGTAGGTTGAGCCTTCTGAGTCTCAAGGTCCAGGGGCGCTTAGACCCTGTGTCTGGAGAAGAGGCAGGCACAGGCAGCAGAGCCCTCGTGGGGTCTGTCCTGGTGGGGTGATGGGACAGCAGGGCCGGGGAGGCTGGGTGGCCTGAGTGCAGTGTGTGCTGACAGCTGCCTGGGGGCTCTGCCCTTCACTGCACTCCCCTCCCCATGGCCACCCCACTGCCCTGTCCCCGTCTGGCCCCTCTTCTCTGCCCTACTTTCCCTTCTTTTCTTCCTTCTCATCTCTCTTCCCTACTGGCATCTCCCCTTCCATCCCCCTCCCCTCAGTTCTTCTCTCAGTCTCCTCTGTTTCTTCCATATTAGCCCTCCTGTCCCTTTCCTGTCTCCTCCTGTCCCCTCCAGTCCTCTTCTACTCACTTGCCCCAACTCCACTCTCCCTTCCCTGAGTTCAAGCTGCTCATTCTTCCCTCTTGGAGCCCCTGCTCTTCTGGGCAGG